TGTTTCTCTGCTTCTCCTGATTCATTTCAGGGTCTGGAAATATCATGTCCTGATTCAGACCCATATGATAACTTCACTCTTACCTGCACAGCCACTAAACCAACCATAGTAATACCAAACCTGGTAGTAGCATGGACACATAATGGTACAATAGTAACTGGTACTGTGACTACTACTGGAGAGGACACTTTGACTACCACTGTTACTAATATATTGAGTTTTAATGCCAGTAGGCCTTCTGATTCTGGCACTTATAGATGTACTGCTAGTATTACTATACCTGATTCAACTGATATCACTACTAGTGAGGAAAGTACTGTAGCTATAAGACGTAAGTGAAAGTTAATTAAGCGATTTGTATTTATGCATGCAATCTATCTCTTTATCTACACTTTTCTTATATCTAAAAAATATAGCTCAGAGCCTACCTGTTTCTGCTATTAATGTAACAGCTACTCCAGGAACAACTACTGCTGCTATATCATTCATAATACCTAAAATTGCCTATACACCTGAAACCTACAGTGTTAAGTACACTGGAGCAATTTCACAAACAACACAAGCAACTTCTATCATAAGAATGAGCTCTTATGACATCACTGCAATTAACCAAGAATTTACAATCATGTTAAATGGTCTTGAGGAAGATAACACTTATACATATACAGTTGATTCTACCAATTGTCTTGGTACCACTAGTACTGTAGAGATGAGCTTCAGAACACTTCCAACATGTGAGTGAAAATTGATACATTTTTCATTAATTTTTTATCATTATTTTACTAATTTAAAATTACAGTGCCCATTGCTTCTCCAATGGATTGTGCTAATATAACATTTCTACCAAGTAATGTCACACTTACCTGGACTGCACCAGCACTAATAGATCAAAATGGGGCACCAGTTGGTTATAATTTAACATGTATGAATACTAATGGTGTATCAATCAATGGATTGAGCCCAACACAAACTTCAACAAACACAATGTTCACTATTACTGATGTTATGCCTTTTACTGGTTACACTTGTGATCTGTCATTTATTAATGTAGTAGGAGAAGGACCCTCTACCCAGTGTACTTTTGAAACAGCTACAGGAAGAACACTACCAGACAGTAAGTATATTATTATGATTCATTTATTAAAATACAATACACAGTTCCTAGTTCACTTCTTCTGGTAGTGTCTTCAGTTGTCATTAATAGTTTAACAGTAGCTTATACTGTACCAGTTCTTAATGAAACTACTATCAATATAACATGGAGTCCACCATCTCATCCTAATGGAGAAATCACTGGATTTATTGTTAGAATAGCTACTGATGCTATTACTAGTCCTAATAATGTTCCATTTGTCCATGATAAAGCATCATACTCTTTAATATATGGAGGATTAAGTTAGCAAAGATCTGTGTCTGTATATTATTACTTTTATTTGTAGAGGCAAAAGTACCTTATTATGTGTCAGTTGTAGCAGTTAATCAGGTTGGTGAAGGAAATTCAGCTACTGCTATTGTCTTCACTAAAGCTGACAGTAAAATATTTAAAATTTTTAGATAAATGAATAATTATGTCATTTTATGTGCAGGTAGTGTTATAGTATCACCATCAAATGTACAAGCAATGAGAATAGGAGAAACAATAGTGTTATCATGGGATCCAGTGACACTTGAAGAAGCTAAAGGATTCTTTGTATACAGTATCAGATTAACTCCTGATGATGGTAGCACTAGCAGTACATTAAGACAAACTAATACAAGAACTATATCAGTAGCTTATGATACCACATCAGTTAATATAACTGATACTGAACCACAGTTAGCTTATACTGTGAGTATTAGTGTATTGCTATTGAGTGATGTAGGACTAATTGAAGGACCGGCATTTTATGTTTCTTTAACAAGTTAGAAAATACATGCATTCAAATAAATAAATATGTATATATTACACAAATTTAAATTATTTCATTGTCTTTTGCTACAGTGTCACCTACTAATGAAGGTAGTACTGATGGTGGTGTTGTTTTAACAGCAGTATTGGTCCCAACCTTAATCACAATGATTTCAGTTGTACTGCTGGTAGTTGTGTGCATCATTACTGCAGTGTTGTACAAAAACAAGTCCAGAAAGTCTAATATAAGGTATGTTGCGCCTATATAGATCAAGCTATCAATTTATGGTACCATAATAGTAAAGCTAATGAACTGAATGTGGCACCTAATAAAGGATATGGTTTAGTGGCTATGACTGGTACTCCTGCTGCACAGTAAAAATAATTATAATCCAAGCATATGTATTTCTTTATATATTAATAGAAATAATGAAGGAGTGTATGAGAAGATTGATGAATATTTATATGAACCAACAAATGATGAAGTTGTGCAGCAAGAGGGAGAGAATACTCCAGTTGTAGGAGATAGTGCTGATAATATAGCAACAGCCAACTGTCCTGCATACGATACTCCTATTACTACTGCTCCAGGTACTACGATTTCATTTTATATGCCCACCATATACATGCACTTCCACATGTGTCTTCAATATTTCTTTATAGTTCCTAGTGTTAATCAAGGAGGGGATCAAGTGAGAGAGGATGAAGAATATGAAAATATGCTTTAAACATTATTTTGTTGACAATAAAGTGATGAACTATTATAGTCTTGAGCTTTGGTATTTTTTGATGTAATTAGCACAATTTTATTAAGGCAAGCATAGCTAGTTAATAATGATTTTGCATAATGTAAAATCGTAAAATTTGTTGCAGCAATCTGAAGTTATAGCGCTATGTTCATTATAGACTATATAGCATTGTAAATACTAAGTGGTCTTTGGCAAATTTTCAACAATTTTAAAAATTCCTAACTTTAGTAGATATACATGTATAACACAGTAGCAAATAAATTAATGGAGGAATTTTAGTGCTTACGCATTGTAAATTTTGATATTTGATGAGCTGCTATTTTAGGTCATGTAGGTGTGAATTCTATACTTGGCATAGATTATCTTAACCACTATGAGTTATTGTTATCTAGTTTGTAGAGTGATATGGTGCAATAGGAAATACAAAAGCAATTTTGTCAAAGAAGAAGTGAGTGTTACGGGTGTGGTCATGATACGCTATGTACATGTTCATGTATAGGTTGATTTTGAGACCTTTTTGATGGCCAATGATGGGTGAGTTTGTACACACAGTATATGGCTAATAAAAGATTGTCTAGCATATGGTAGAGTGCAAGTGAATACAGTCAGTAATTGAAGCTACTAATAGATCAATGATAAGTGTTGAGCCAGTGTATGTATGGTACAAAACCACCTACTAATATAAAAGACTAATGCTAACTTTAAATCATCTTATATGTACATCATTACTCTTAATCATTCCCCAATGGAAATTTTGTGACAATATATTTTTCAAAGTAATGACAAACAGGGTTTCTTTAATTAGTCAAAAATACACCTAAATTGTTTTGTGTTTTTCTAAATGTTTAAGCAAACATTTTATTCTAATTCTACTATTATCTATGTCAACAGAAGTTGTATACATACATGTAGTTCACTAATGGTATGAAGCCATATAATAAAACTGTCTTACTATTGGTCACTCAGCTATTGAAGTATCACTTCCTTATCCCTATTAATATAAGTATAGTACAACTTGTTTTACATATTATACTTAACATATGAGAAAGAGGATGAGTCTGGCTACTGTTAGCATTTTTGTGTTTTTACTAGTTCAACTAGGAGAAGGAATGGGACATCAAGCACCTTTCATTCAACCCTACAGAGCTGGTATAGATAGATCTAAAACAATGTAACTTTAAATCAGTTCAATTACCTAATCTAGGTGTTCGACTGTACCTGCCTTATGAGGACAGGATAATACCTGATTACTCTATGATATATGCTAGCCAGTTTTATGATATTGATCAGAATAATGATGCTTTTGATATCATTGATGCTTTGTGGTGTCAGAGTGCTAACAATGGTAATATTGGAGAGTGGTATTATCCTAATGGAACTGAAGTGCCTTTATTTGATGGACTCTTTAATGATTCATCAGCTCCTAGTCCAGTGTACAGTAAGAGATTCAGTGGTCAGATTGCACTTGCTAGAAGAGATGGACT